GCCTTCCACTCTTGGGGCTGCTCCCTGCAATTGCGCCTTCCCAATTAACCAGAGGACTGTTCAGGTTGGCCGCGGGGGGCAGCCCCCGTGTGTGGGAGGGAGGCGGTGAGGGTGGGGGAAGAGGGGGCTTAGGGACTGGGAGCCAGGACCCCTGGGTTCTCTGCCTGGCTGTGGGACGGGAGTGGGGTCTAGTGGTTAGAGCAGGGGGCACTGGGAGCCAGGACCCCTGGGTTCTCTGCCTGGCTGTGGGACGGGAGTGGGGTCTAGTGGTTAGAATGAGGACTCCTATCACTGTCTCCTGGGGGTGAGGGAGGGGGTTTGGGAGGCTGTTCTTGTTGGTCTGGTAATTCCTGGGGCCGCCTACGGGGGAGCGCAGACCTGGGGGATGAGGTCATCTGGACTCATCTTCCTCCTCCCCAGGCGGAGCAAGCAGCCAAAGTGGAGAGGATGAGACAGAGCATTCTGGAGGGTGTGAACCTCAATCGACAGGCTCCGCCCCCCCCCCCCCCCTTCATGCCCGCCATGGCCACGCCCTTCTATTCAATGCCCCTCTACCCCCGCACGGCTGGCTCTGTGCCATTGCCGCCCCCTGGGAGGAGCAGAGGGTTCACAGGTGAGAGACTGTCCTGTTTCCTGAGCTGCGGCCCCACCCCTGTGCTCTGGGGCCCCACTTGCAGCTGGGTATTGGTGGGATTGTGTGCATGTTTGGGGCAGGGATTCAGGGTCCTCTTTTCTCCCCCCTCCTATTGCACGTCTGTGGCATTCAGGGAGCTTGTGGGGTGCTCCGGAGTGGAGGGGCTGGGGGCATCAGCCCACTGAGATGCATCGGGACGGTTTCCCTGGGCCAGAGCAATAGATCGGGCAGGGCCGGTTGGACCCAGGGCAGTTCCGCAGGCTGACCCAAAGCCGATGTTCCACTTCGGGGGCCTGGGTGTGGCCCTTGGTTCACTCGTCCCCCCGTCTCCTGTGACCTAGGTCTTCACCCCATCCCATCCCAGGGGGGCAAGCTGGAGATCGCTGGCATGGTCGTCGGCCAGTGGGCAGGCAGCAAGCCCTGGAGGGGGCGGGGCTCCTTCGGGATGCAGGTGGTATCTGTCGGAGGACCGGGGAAGGGGTAAGTACCACTGCACGGCAGGGGGGACCATCCTTCTCCCCATGGGCTGTCTCTGCCCCGGGCAAGCAATCCCTCTGGGGCGTTCTGTGTGGCTGTTCCCCAGCTGCCCTGCCCCAGACGCAGCTGCATCGGGGCACACGGCAAGCCGTCCCTGCACGTAGCCCTCTGCAACGATGAGAATTATCCGTGATCCCTGCTCTGTAGCCTCACTGATCCCCCCCAGCTATTAGGCCTATTACCTAATGTCCTCGGTGTAACGACCCTGCCGCCAGCTAACGAGTGTCGTTCTCTGCCTGGCGCCGCCCCAGACGCAGCCGAGATGGGTCTGGAAAACTCCCCAAAGGAAACAAGAAGCTTAACAAGCAGGTACGTGTGTTTGCCTTTCCCTTCCCCGCGGCCTGGCCCTTCCCAGGGCCCCTCCGCCCCCAGGGCTGGGTCTGGGACCGTCCGCAGGGTCTGCTGCGGCCAGTGCAAGGCCAAGGCTGCGTCCTGCGCTCTGCTTCTCTGGGGTCTCCTCTGCCTCCGGAGGATGGATAAGAATTCCCACTATTACATGGCTGTGCCCCAGAGGGGGCTGCCTCTCG